TTCTTCCAATGGCTTCACTTTATAGTACTGAACATGCTATACAGAAGTCATTTGCTCGTTTTTTGGTAGGAACAGATAGCCCCTCAGGAGCCATGTAGCGAACTCTCTCAAAGTCACTTTGAAGTAATTGGATTCTTTGACTAATTTTACCTAATCTGCTTTCAAGAGACAGGGAAAGGTACAGGCAAGTTGGAAGGGGTGGTTGGTCCACGGACATAGAAAGTCTCCCATTCATGAAAGTCTCCCATTGATATAGATACTACGCTTAGATGCTCTAACACCGGAGGCAAGACTATGCGGATGAACCTTCGATGCTGTGCTAGAGAGGGGAGGAAGCCCTATTGCTTCATTCAAGTGTAGGATAGGAATTCAACCGGGCTGGCTCGGCTTTTCACTTTACTGCAAAGCATTTCAAAACAACCTCCGAATGAAATTGCACTTCTAACTCGAACAAAAAGTTATTTTCTTTTCTTCTGCCGTTTGCTATGCTGCATCGAACAGCTGCGTCGATTACAGACTGATCGGCCAGATCTCCAGAGCTCTCTCCAGCTCTCACAACCAGATTTGCAGTTGTCCAATCGCCATCGCTGATGCCTTCTACATGAATAGTTGCTTCCAGAATTCGGAAAAGTCAGTTATTGCTGACCATGGGCCCCTGTAGCAATGAGTCAAAGTTGGCCCTCTGGGGGAGCATTCACAAAATCCATCACGCTATCAAAATTGGTTTGTCATTTGCCTGCCTATGCCCGCCTGAAAAAGGAAGAAGTTGAAAGATGTCAGATGTTTCTCGATTTTGAGAAACCGTTAGCCTAAAGAAGCTTCTGGAATCGACCCTTTCATTCCCCTAGCTTCTCACACCAATCATAAATGCCCGAGCATTTGGGTAAGAGAAGCGGAAGGGATTTCGAGCCGTAAATCAGGAGTTCTTCTTGAAGTCGTCGGCGCTGGAACAATGTCATTGCCTGGAGGATTGCCAATCAAAGGAGAAGTCTAGGGACCCCCAGGAGGGTATCCTGCGATATTTATCCTTTCATGGTGCAACCCCCCCCCCCCCCCCCCCCCCCCCCCCCCCCCCCCCCCTTCCCACCCCTCCACCCCTAGGAACCATCACGTACTACTCTACTGTACACCATCGCTTAGTTCGAATGCCATTTACTGCCTGGGAATATGGGCATAGTTAAGTAATCTTGGGAGCGATGAAAGTATGGGAATCAATAAAATTGTTGCTATCGGGATCCATCAATTACTTTTTCCTTACAAATTCTTCAATGTGCAGACGTGATGTTTGACAGCTCTTTGAATTACCCAACACATAATTACCCATACTGATGGCGTCTATAACATGGGTATACCCAGTCAATCGATTTTTTGTACCATCTATATCGATTTTTAACAAGCCGATAGAATGTTCAGTAGCCATCCTCTGTGCCCTACGTATGACACCTTTATGGGTAAGCCACGCTGGTAGATTCATCTTCCACATGACACCTTTTGACGGCCCACGTGTCGCCGATTTTGTCAGCGTATGAGTGTCTTTTGGATTTTGGGTTGTCACATGAAGGGTAAGGCGGTCCTCAGTGGAATTTACTCCTCCCCCTCCTGAAGCTATACTTCATAATCTGCTCTGTCTCAGTTCTGTCCCAGTATTACCCAAACCCTCTTCCTCCCTCTCCACCCCGAACCTCTCCCTCCCCCTCCACCCCAACCATCTCTCTCCCCCTCCAGCCCCCTCCTTCACCCACCCTCGTTCTTGAATTTGAGGCCGGAAAATTAGGTTTAGGTAAACAACGTCGTCATGACCATACGTGGAGCAGGAACTGTAAACAACGTTGGTGTAAAAAGCCAATTTTCCTTCCGTTCGCCTTCAAGAACCGTATTCACTGAGCTATGAGTTTGCCAAGCTATTTTTCATGTTTATGGACAACCTAATTTTCAGCCGCTAATACTTCAGCTTCAGCACTAAATCAAATGGATGTCAGCGTTGATTCATCAAAGGCCTTTCCTCCCCTTTGCCTAGCCAAATGAATGAGTCCACCCTGCACATCTAGGTTTTTATCGTCATGAACGCTTGATGTTACACTGTAATTTGCCAGTAGTTGAAGGTCTTTCTCAGCTGCCCATTCTCCCATTGCATCGAACTTTTCGTCATTTTATTTGTGTACCTATCGGTTTTCATGCCTCACCCATAGCTCAGTGCCAGGTCAGTGCCTCGATTCGAGTTCCATAGCTGTCGGCGTGACTGTGCCTTAGAACCGGCTGTGTCAGCTTCCGTACTCAAGCTACAAAGGCTGGAATTGATGAATTCCCTTCAATCTCAGAGATTAGCCCTCTTAAGGTCGAGTGTTTATCAAAAACTTCCTTTCCTCTTGCGTTAATAGCGTTTGTCTGAGAGCCCGCTGGCTCTAGAAAGCTTCTACTCTGGCTTCCAGATCTACAAGATCCTCCTTAACGACGTGCCTTCTTCTTTTCGTTGGAGCTTATCTTGGTCGGTCAATTCAAGTTCAATTGTGAGCCTGTGACTTTCTCAGCGCTTGTCGAAATCGTTTCATATCCTTTTTCCGTACCTTCAGTTGGATGCGCCATGGTCATAACCACGAAAAATTTCTCGCTTCTGCACCGATTCGGACCAGTCTTGTTACAGGGCCATCACCAGATCCTCACTGCAACAGAGGGTAGCTGTCCTTCCCGCTACCCCGGCACCCATGTGCCTTTTGCGAGAGTCATAGATTCTCGGGATTCTCGGAAACAACCATTATCGGGAATACTGCCTTTCAACGCTACCCTGCACATAAGCTCAACTAAAATGTGTCGTGCAGTCACTAAACAATTGTTCTGTCTCGTAGAATGGATTTCGGATAGAATTTGATCGTCTATGAATTCGATTACCTTTCCTCGTTTTCGAGTTCTTCTTTGGAAACTGAACATTGGATTTTTCTTTCGTTACTCGAACCTTTTGACATACCACTCACTGCTTTCATTTGTTTCATCAGGTTTTCATGTAAGACTTTTGCAATGCCGCTTAAAAAGTTCATAAAAGGATCGTCATTGGACTATAGACTACCATTTACTGAGGTAATCCTTTTGAACATCATAATAGTAGTCTATAGAACCGGTTTTTTATAGTTACAATAAATATCTCCATTAATAATAGTTTCCATTAAGGAGAATGGAAATCGAATCCGTCATGTTTTCCGAAGACGCCATCATTCTGTTGTAACAATGGTGATGTCACCATTTTTAGACTAATTTTTGTAAAAAAAAAACTTTTGAATAGATTAAAATGTGGCAAAGCAATGCAAGATAAAAGCAAAATGACAATGAGGGAAGGATTCATGGCCCATTCTTGGGCGATTACAGCACTTCTGACAATCCCTGTTCCACGCTACACCGACCGCATGCGCCAGAAAGTCTTTAGCCCCGCCCCTTCCGTTCATGGAAGGCTGACTGCTTTTGGGCTAAATTTTTTAAAAATCATATCTACACTAGCAATCAATAAATATATAACATATTTAAAAATACTGCTTTTAATGTAATAGCTGAGAAGATCGACCATGAAGCAGTTGCTGCTGTTATACGGGTAATTACCCTATACTTCCGTACAGTGACTGGCTCCAAGTAGAGGGTTTCTCGAATTTTTAGATGTACGCCAATCGAATTTTTTTGATTTTTTCGTATATTATTGGAGGAGAAAAATAAATAAATATGTCATTATGGTGTAATATACATAAAAGTTACATCAAATATAATTGTAAAATAAAATAAAAGTAGTATTTTGCTGTAATATCAATTTCAGCGATTTTTTGAGTTTTAAATCGCTTCATTTGTTAATTGGACGTTTCCTTATTCTTGGCTTATTATTAATTATTACACTATTACATTACACTCCCCTATTTTTCATTTAGCTGTCAACTGAATGAAATATTTTCAATTAATTTTAGCCGGCTAACTTGGATGAGAAAGAAGAGATCAACTATGTGGCCCTGTTGGTGAAAATCCGTTTGAAAGAAGGACAAAATTTAGCCATTCGAGATGCTTCAGGTCTGTTTCACTTTACCATTTAGCTTTGTGAAGATGTTCTAGTCATTACCGTATACCGCAGTCTTGCACCTTTTGGGTTTGGGACACCCCAAGTATGTCATTCCGGCTTGCCATCGACTTGAGGGCACCTAGACGTTGGATCGTATGGTAGTATACCTAGTGGAAAACGTCAGCCTTCGAAAGTCATTGATCTGGTCCAAGCTACGGTCGGATTCTTCTGCGATTCAGATCAGAAAAGAATACGGAATGGCTCCTAGACAGCTAGACATTCAATCTTTCCTAAAACTTTCTTTAAAAGAGTGCTGATGTTACAAATATTAGGGCGGGCAAATGAGCGAACGAGGAGGTAACGGCGTTTGTTTATAGCCCATTTTTCATCTTTTTATGATTCATTCATCACTAACTTTTTCGATTCGGTGTTACAACAGAGATCCCTCATCGAAGCATGAGCTCACGGATCGATTCTCAAATCGAAGTCCTTCCAGATCAACCAAGCCCCGATAGTTTCCTAATGAATAACCAGTCCAAAGAGTCTCTGATTAGCTGTCCTCTAAGTTATTGATCAGGCCGCAAGCCTATACTCGCATACGAGCCTACATGGTTTCAAATGGGGCTCAATGTCAGATGCGTGACCTATTCTTGGGAAGAACTGGTCGCTATGAAGCGGACATTCTCGATTTCCAGATTCTTTGGATGTGAAAGAGTGACACTAGGGTTTGTGGTAAAACTTAACACAAGCTAGAAACAATCAATTTGCCTCTTCTAGATGGGCGGGGTTTTCGTGAAGGGTGGATTTCGTAATACCTAAATGCCTCGCTTTCCATTTCAAACTAGCTATCCATTTCCTTGTGAGTTTAGCCGATTTCCGTGGAAGCCATTGAAGGCGGTCAAACCTAAATCTCACCTCCGAAACCATCGGGAGTTCACATTTTTGCATGTGAATCGCGGCGTCGGTCGCCTGTGCAAAGAGAAACCATTTTCCATATCACATCAAACCCCCTTTTAATGCATTTAATGGAAATGCATTGAAAAGGAGTGACTTCCATGAGCATGTCATCAAGACGTTTCCTCATTCCGTATAGGTCTTTTCCCATAGAAATGAATGAAAAGGTAATAGCAAATGAGAATTTTAATTTCACATTCCGTCTTCTGTAAACCAACCAAAGTCCGACAGCACCAGTGGCATTTACAATGGGATTTACATTTATGCGGAGTGTCGGAGTGGGTATTGTTTGAAAAGGATAATTTGCTCGAGGTTGCCTGATGTTCTGATGCGCCACGAATCCGATTTCTGTCAGGAATTCCAGTAGTTTTGAAATGATTTCTTGCCCCTTACAATGACTTCTGTATGCAGCCGCTAATAAATAAAAGGTTGTTGAACCGAAGATAAGGAACGGACCAGTGACTTTCCATCCCAGTTGAGTACTGCAGTAGTCAAGTAATTAGTAAATATTAGAGCTTGGAAATTTTCAAGACTTGGAGTCGACCTGAGTGCGAGTTACGATCTGATGATCAAACCGTGAGCCTTGTCATCAGTTCACTACACTGGTACTCAATGCAGAGCCTCCTCTATTTCGGAAGAATGGCACGCTCGGGTGGTCTCGAACACAAAAGATCTGAATTTCCTACGTTCTCCCTGGAAACAAATCGTAAAAATGTTAATCCGATTTCTTTCAGGTAGTAGTGATCCTTATGTGAAATTCAAATATAAGGATCGTATTATGTACAAAAGTAGCACTATATATAAGAATTTAAATCCAATATGGGATGAAGAATTTCAAATGCTAGCCGATGACATGACGTCACCGATTATTATCGAGGTAATTGCTGCATCATATTTTTTTCGTTACCCAAATGAGTATGTCACCGGCAATGTTTGTTGTGGTGAGCATGTTCAGTTCGATGGAGTAAATCGATCATTTCAAGGTTTTCGATTATGATCGGTTTTGTACGGATGATTTCATGGGCTCATGCAGTATAGACATTAGTCAAGTAAAATGGTTTCAGTGAGTTTTCACGCAGTATTCCATTTTGAGGTTCTGGCTCTATTACTGTACTTTTTTTCCAGATCATTCGAGAAAGTCGTTGATTTGTATGACGACGCATCACCGAACGAAGAACTAGGTACGATTTCGCTCACGATATCCGTTATACCTTTGACAACGGGAGAAAGAGATGAGGTTGACACGTTTTTCCTTTAACAATTTTACTTTTATATTCGTATTTTTTATTTTATTTTTTTACAATGTTGATATCGTTTTTGTTTATCTCCATTATTTACTCTTCAATTACTAATTTTATCTTCAGTTCGTTCATCGATCCGTTCGTGGCGTCTTATCTGAGGTGGTGAAGAAACGCGAAAAACGTAATTGATTTTGTATTTATTCAGTTTTCCCTTAACAGAATTTTTTCAAATGTTAAATATAGTTTTTATATTCCTTTTTAAGAAACTCTTCAACAGGATGGCATCTGTAGGTCCTTATTTTTTCCAAGGGTTCAGTTATTTTTCTAAAAAGGAATCCGCTTAAGCTCATGTGTATTACCCCTGAAACTGGGGTGGCGGTACTTCTCCCCGAATTCCACGGCAGGCGGCAGATATTCCGCGACGACTACCGTATCCTTCCTCTGGAATTTCGAGACTTTCCCTTCAAAGAAGACGACTGCGTGTGGTCGGATGCGGCAGGCGTGACGTGATTTTTGGGGAGAAGTTACCACACCCACGAAACTGTGATCTCGGTTGTGTGGTCAAACTTGAAAGCCACATAACTCGTCCACTATACATTGCTATCGATTCTCTGTCGCTTTCGACTATCCCTACCTCTCTTAACGACCCAAACCTGAAGGGCATTGCTTACATAGTTCTGAGACAAAAACGTTCGATCGACCTATTTCTGAGTCGCGAATTTTTCGCGCCGTTAAATGAGCCTCATCTTAGGTGGAGCACTGCATCTTCCATATCCTGAGTGCTGTGCGCAATTTAATTTTGAGGCAGAACGAGTAGCCTGAAGATGATTGTTTTGATGTGCAAAAATTTTGGGTACTAGTGGAGCGATAAACCACCGAAATCGAAAACAGCCTGAGATTTGGGAAAACGTTCTGCTGGATTCTCCTCTTGCTTCCGTTCAGCTCTTTTGCTTGGGTTGCTTCAAAATTTGGCTAATCCGATATGTTAGTGAAAAATGATGGTTTCAGTGGTTCAAACATGGGTTTCGGTGGTCAACGTGGTATTGGTTGAAGGTAGAAATCTGAATGTCTCCTATAATGCGGTCACGCCTCCTGATCCTTATTGCAAGTTCAAGCTCGGCTGTGAAAAGTACAAAAGCAAGGTGGGTTAACTATCAAAATGAAGACTTTTCAATGTGGCTACTATATCTAGATTTCTATGCAGATTTTACCACCACTTCTGCTCGAACTCTTACCGCTTCTACGTTTATACATCTGCTGCTATCGCTAATTGACGCTCGTTGTCGCTTAATATCGCTTCTTGTCGCTTACTTTATGTTTGAATCTTCTTCGGATCTAATTTGTTGCCATTCTCGCCGTTCCTGATGAAATGAGTATCTCTATTGACTCAGCTCGCAAATTTTTCCATCTTTCATTGCCTAGAAATAGGGTTCGTAGATGCTGGCTATTATAAGGACCCTACCTCTTGCTTGCCACCTCTTCTTTCACATATTCGTAACTGGTATGCTTGCATGCCCCACAATTTTTTTGCAAAACTGCGTAAGTTTTGAATAGTGACTGCGTCTAACAAAAATCGGACCTAATGACACATCTTTGGATTACTGTGCTCATCGTTCCGTTGCCCGATTTCCTGCCACAATAACGTCTCTTCGAGTGCCTAGATAAATGTAAGGTATGGAGGGACAACTGTCTCATTAGTCTTCACTCCTTACTCCTATCCTTAAAAGCACGGTTCACGATGAAAATGGTTTCGGAGATATGCACATGGTATGAATTCGGGACCCCCTCTGATACCATCTGTGCCGAAATGAGGTCGAAAAACGGTCCGAATAGGGCACAATAAGGGGTCGGAGAGTGAACCACGATCAACTTCCGCCCCTCGTTAGGCTCACTGCGAAATCTAAATGTCGTTCACAACATTCGCACTGGAGCGAAGTTGGTGAAAAATCGATAAGCTGATTGGCAAACTGCCAAACAATTGAAAATACTACCATGAGTTTCATGAAAGAACACAATTCAACGTAATAAAAACATCAGGAGAAAGTTTCACCGTAAAAACACTAACATAATCAAATTTATTTACCTTCTCGTCCCGGCGAATTGATTCCGCAGCATAATTCAGCTTAATAGCAGCAGAAGAATAAATAGTTTTAATGAATAAGCCGAAATCAGCTGCTTTGGTGTGTTGTGTGCAATTGCAGACACTGCGTAGCGTTTGTCTGACTCGCCCGTAAATTCCCGGGGGACGGTACCAACGTGCTCCCGAGGGTGCGCGCGGCAAATTGCGCGGCGAAGTTCGTGACGACTTATATGACTCTCACGCCAATTCTCGGGGCACAAACTCTAAGTAAAGTAGTTTATTAGGGTTAGATGACCCTTTTAATTCATTCTACTTCGAATTTGGGCCCTAATGATAGGCGCCAAAGTCGTTCAAATCATTACGAACTTCGCCGCACAATTTGCCGCGCGCATCCTCGGACGCACGTTCGTACACATACCCAAATTCCCTTATCGCCGTTTTCTGGCCGTGTAACTCGTCTAACCCTCCCCCTTCTTTTCTCTTCTTTTTTGAAGCTTTCTATTTCTTTTTATACATCGTTTTTCCCGTTTTCTCCTTTTCCATTATACTAATGTGGGCCGTATCTAACATTTTTCGTCAAAAACCGGCTACCTTCAAATCATCGTGAACTGTGCCTTGAACTTCGGTTTTTAATCAGTCTCTTGAAAGTCTGTTGAGTATTATGGTGTTCAATAATTTTCTTCATATAGCAGCGATCAGTCTATCCGCTCGACCTTGTGCTCCATCTATACAGCATAAATTAGTGAACAAGTGGTTAATTTGTTTCACTAATAAGAACTCTTTAGATCTGCACACGAACAAGTGACCCTAAATGGGTTGAGCAATTCGATTTGCATATTTATGAACTCGGATCGGAAACGCTCGAAGTGATGTGCCAGGACAAGCATACCAACACCTCTATCGGAAGGTATCATTGTTTATCATCAGCGAAACCGAGTAGTGGCATAAGTAGGAGGCACAGTCCGCTACCACAATTATTCCTGAGATTCCCCTCTGATGAATCTGTAGTCTCCAAGGATAACACTTGGGACACTGTGTGTTCGAAAAACCATTTCTCCATGATGTATTGAGGAATCCAAAACTGTCTCTTCCTATGTTCACACCCAAGAGTGACCGAGTCATGATGAACTTGACCGTTCGTAATGGAGCACACATGTTGAAAATGCAAACAACTAGTCGTGACCCACGGATACGGTGGGCATCTTCATACTGCGACGCCGGCAATGTGAATGTTCCCAGGTGAAGGCACTTCCTGGCCTGCTTTTCAGGCAACTAAACCAACAGTCAGCCGTCGGCGAATAACCATTCCGTGTCACTTCTGTCGTGTCTCGTACAATCTCTTTTTTGCTACCTTTCAAAGCCTTATATCTCTTGAAATCCGTCGAGTTTCGCCTTTGTCACCTTTTCACTATTCCGCACCCGGCTTCCATTATTTCACCTCTGAGTATCGCAAACTGAGATTTGAAATTTATTACATGCCCTGACGGACTGTGCCTTTAATCTCGCAGTCTACACTTTAGCCAACAAAGCATGTGCACGTGTCGATTTTCTCTAGGATTGCAGTTGATCTGCACACGTTCCCTCGCGATCAAACGATACAAAAATGGTACCATTTGGAGGATACGTCAAGTGCATTGTTGCTGCTTATCACCGTCTCTGGTAGCCAGTCGAAGGATACCGTTGTCGATTTGACAGAATTCAATCAGAATGACATACGGAATTCCATTTGCGAGAGATATGTAGGTAATTTTCATGGTTGTAATACCTTTACCAGAAAGGCTGTCGTAGGCAAAGCCGGCTAGGTATTAAAATTGATCGCTTATGTCAGAGAAAATGCTACTCCTTACCTCTCAAACATCATGAACAAATTGTTAGGGAGAAGGGTATTCTAGCAGTCATATGGTATTAGACGTGCTCTTCATTGCTGAAAAGTTCCTCAGCGCTCTTTTGCTTTTCAGGATCTTCTTCATACATTCGATGACTTGAAGGATGTTGGTCAACTCACCGTTAAAGGTAATCTCGAACAGCTAATTCGATCCTTTTTCTATTACATGATACGTGTCTTCGTTACGGTTCGTCCTCAAAGCAATGGTAGCCAATTGATCTTGACCCGTCATTCTCCCCTTGTTGGGAATTGCTAGCTTCATGAAATATCATTTTTTAGTGTTCCGTGCTGAAGATCTTGTGGCGAAGGATATCGGAGGCAAAAGTGATCCGTTTGCTGTTCTCGAGCTAGTGAATACGCGATTGCAGACGCACACCGAGTACAAAACCTTGAATCCTCAGTGGAATAAGTTGTTCACGTTGTGAGTGGATATATACCGTGCACGTTGACTGCTCTTTCAGAAAAATGTTCACCTTATTTTAGCTCCGTCAAAGACATCCATACCTGTTTGGAGGTGACTGTCTATGATGAAGATCCTAATAATAAGTTTGAATTCCTCGGAAGAGTCTCCATTCCACTGTTATCGGTTAGTTTTCACAGCCACTTTAGAAGACGGACATTGACGAGCACTATTTGGTAGCTCGCCATCAATTTCAAAGACTGTGGACTGTTGTGTTATATATCCTGTAAATAGGCGTAATTTCGCAGTTTCAGATTAAAAACTGTGAAAGGAAATGGTATGCTTTGAAGAACAAAAAGCTCACAGCACGTGTTAAAGGCGAAATCCTCTTGGAATTGGATGTGATTTGGAATCCGGTAACGTTTTGTGGCTTTTCGTAGTTCTTTGAGAAAACTTATTTGAGTATCCTTGTTCCGAAAATATTCGAGTAGTGTAGTTAAGAGCGAATTTCTTTCGAATTCGACTGAACATTACATTTAAAACGATGGAGAAATCGAAAAGCAACAAGTTTCGTCATTGCAAACATAACCAAAGATCAATAATAAAAACAAACGAAGAATGAATCTAACCAACAAAATACAAAAAATGGGGCGGATAAAGGCCCATAGCTTTTTTCTGATAACCTTAATAGCAACCAACAAAGTCTTCCTTGCACAAGTTGCTGTGTTAAGAGCAACGGGCGAGATTATGAATCGGAGATCCCTCTCCTCAATAGCCTTGCACTTTAGCATGGCAAAGCTTCGAATTATTGAAAGCCTTTTACAGAGAAGTAGATACTATTTGTAGGAGTTGGATTTTTACATTACCGGAACGAAATCAGGTTTTTAAGATTCGAGCAGCCATACGAACGTTCAACCCCCGCGAGAGGAAAATCCTTGAAACGGACAAGAAGTTTAAAGTGTGTTTTGTGCTTGAGCTGCGTGTCTTTCTCTTACTTCCATCCTTTGATTCAGGCGAGCTTATTCCGTAATACTGTCGTTGAACTGAAAGAATTCGGTTTAACTTTGGTTGACTATAAGAATTACGTTGTGAGCTGTTTTGATTGGGAATCAACTTCCAGATCGGTTACGGCATTCGTGGTAAGTTTTTGACTTTATTTCCTGTTCGCTCCCTCTTCAAATATAATTCCTAAGTGATGGCTTGTTTGGTTCTAATCGATATCTTCAAAATTAGATGCTCAGCCTGGCGTTCAGTAAGTGTTATAGAGACAAAATTTTGAGTGCCATTATGAGCTAGCGAAGGAATTTCATGACATCTTGAAGGACAAGGTTTTTTGTCGGCAGGCCTCTTCATGCCACCGCGTGAGATACTTAGAGGGTCAAAGCCGGATCGAGCGTCATTCACTCATCCTCAACGGAGGAGTAGTGAACGATGATGTGACTCCTTTCGATGTTGGATCAACTTATAGTTTGTCCTCTAGTAGGCGTAATCGTTCGCCATGCTTGATGTGCGGATGATGTTTTGGATGCTGTTCCAGAGCTAGAATAAATATTTCCATCCTCCGTTAGAGTCTAGAGAGGTCCGCCGTGGGTACTCACATAATGAAGACAGAAAACTCACTGGGGATTGATCAGAAGTGCTTGTTCATTTTTTTACTAAACGAAGACGAAGATCAGAAACGACGTTCTCGGACTCAGCCATGCTCAAATAGATAGTGCTTGCCACACTTTGTTCACAGGACTGATGCAGAGAAGTGGGATGCTTTTCTTCACATAATATGCACCATCGTATGACTTTTCCGCCTACTTTATGGAGGCTGCTAGTTGTTCTCATTCCTCAACATGGTTATCAGTTGCTCTCAGTGCGATTTCACATTGGATTTTAACAGAACTGGGCACAAAAATTTCAAGAATACTTGTTATGGCTTGTTAAGGTTTTCTAGGCGCTGAACGCGGGGTGTTCATTTCGTGAAAAACTAGGGCTGCTACACTGGCGGCTGACTACAGCTGTCTATTCAGTCAGTTATATGCTTCCTGCTATGTACTATCTCTATGAAACCCTGGGTTCGGTTTACAAGGCTTGTGCCAGATGAATGACATGAGACGGGGAAGAAGGCCTGAGTCGATTGGTCCCAGAATCTTCAAGTACCGTGTTGCTTCCAACTTTTGAGGTTCTGGCTACAGCCGCCTTCCTCGCAGACATCGTTTGCCAGCCTAGAAGAGGTGGTCGAGCCGGCGTGATCGCTGTCGCGGCTCGCTGCTCACATCTGCCACGCTAGGCTCTTCGGTTCTAGCTTCTTCGTTCTCCAAAAATCGCTATCTTGAGTTTTGCTTCCTCCGTAGCACAGTAAGATGGCTGTCCCGTACGAAGCCCCTCAACGCATAAAACCTGCGGTCGCAGCCTAACCGGCGCCTACCTACGAGTCTTCTGCACACGAGAACTTTACTATGTATCGGACGACGTACACCAATTATAATATCTCCACTTAACCTGAGTGATATCTACGTTTATGAGCGTACTGTGATAATACAAAAAGGAATTGTCGACTAAATATGGTAATCAAGTGAGTAAACAATTGAGCATCCAAGAAACACTACGCTCGTGCACATAAACTATCATAAACTTACGAACGTACGATCTCTGCCCAGAGTACTCTTCTGTCATCCAAGCGTCCAACCCTCTGTGGCGCCGGCATTCATCTCCATACGCTGTAACTACGAGCCGAACTATTTGACGTTTCTTCAAGCGAGGAGCAATCAAACCGAACAAAAGAAGGTCCTCCATGGAGATGCCGTCGGATGATGATGTAGACGGCACGGCGATAGACGGCAGAAGCGAAGCCTACAACGATGATTGAACGACAAAGACGCAGAAGTTGTCGGCGAATCATGGTCACGTGGCGTCCTTCCACTATCACGATTACGGTGACTTCCCGGGAGGACCATAACGCGCCCATGCACTTTCTTCCTTCAGTCTTGCTGTTATAGCAGTACTAGAGCTGAGTAAGAATCACAGTATAAACTTATGCTCTACGTTCACCAAAATTTCTCTAGGATTTGAATTTTCGAATATCTGTACCACACTGCATCGATAAGTCGGATTACATTATAATATTCGTCTAGATATTTGTGGTTGGCGTCTATTTCTTCGAACTCTATCATGCTCCTCTGTTGCTGCTAGTATTATTCGCTCGATGTCTAGTCTACAAGAGAGTTGCCGAAGATCTGGCTCCACGTGTTAGTGAATTATCATTCAGAGAAGATGATGACGTTGAAGAAGAGAAGGTAATTTTGTTATTCGTTGTTACTACCATGACATTGGCCTCATAATAATTCATTGTTATAAATCTTTAAAGAATGTAATGGCTACTTATTAGGTGACAAAATAAAATGAATGAAAGTACAGTAAAATTAATCAACTACTAAACATCTGGCTGGCATCCTTTCGATCCTCTGAGTTTTTTCATCCTAGTTCCGAGAGTTTTGTCATATTCTAGGATCTTGATGAAGATAGAGGGTGGTTAAAAACGATGGAACGTATTTCCCGGGAATAAAAAGATTTGACTACAACTATCGACGGGTATTAAGACAAAGGATGGGAAGCGGAGACCGCACCTTTATAAATGCTTCCGCTCTGTTTCACTGAACTTTAGTGATTCAATTTTTCGAGGGCAGTAGGCATTTATGAGTATGTCACCACAGGTTGGGATGCAACAGGGCGGGGTGCAACAGATTGTAATCATCTCAACCCTGAAATCGGAGACGGACTCAAAGACTCTAAGTTAGTTTCCCAGGCGAAGCCCTTAAAAAGGCCACCTAATCAAAGTTGTTTTAAGGAAGTGTTCTTACTTAAGAGTTCTTTTCTTTTGCTCGTTTCTTAGGGTTCATTAGCCAATCAGAGTTTATATTTGTCAGGGAAGATGGAGTGTATACGCTTTGTGTCTTTGTGGAGATAGCTCATCTGAGTGTCAGGCACCTGTAATGAGTAGTTCCACTAACCGCTTTGTCCATTACTGTAGTACTGCGTTCTAACCACTGTGCACTGTTGTAATTTGAATGTGTAGAACTCGGTTAGCGTGCTACAACATCTAAAAGGATCCACAGAAGAGAGAATCACTCTGCGCTTCAGCCGCACAACCGCCATGCATAACTAACTTGTGCTCTGACATAATGCTGCACATCCTGTGTAACCTCGGTGTTCGTAGTGTTCGTATGGTGTCTCGTGTGTTTATTTCAGGAGCTGGACAGCGGCGGGAAAACTCCGACAAATGCTGTCACTACGCCCAAGTTAAAGGATAAGGAAGTGTGTTGCACGTTTCTTAGACGGATTAATTTGCACGTCAATTTAGCAGATTACCGTTTGTCGTAGCCTGTGACGCCTATAATAACTGAGATGAGGGTAATGTGTTCCGAACGGCATGTCGGCCAGCGAGACAACTAACCAAGATACGTCGCGCGGCGACCCAACTTACTAATGATTGCAATCGATAAGGCTGCATCGGGACTCCTTACAATCATCCATTACATTTTCGTGTGTCAACGGAACCATCTTGTACGAGTCTTCCTGAAATGGATAATTGTAATTTTCTCAAGTAACTAGTGTTGAAAACCATTCCTGCATTCCAGTCTTCGACAACCATAAGGGACACGCTGTCATCAGTGCAGGAAACCTTGGCTGTCGTACAAAACACACTCGTTTTCATCTGCGCTCTACTACAACGGATACGAAAGTGAGTGTAGATTGTCTCGCCCGATTCTCTCATCTTTTTTTCCAAATATAAAATACTCTTTCTTCAAAAATATTATCCGTTTGATTACGCTGACCTAGTTCATTTTCTTTTTTGTTAAATTATATGAAGCAATTCAACAGTTCAACATTGTGATGTCGTCAACCCAACGTTCTCTCTAGAGCCTAAACTTCCTGCGACTTCTTCTCTGACCTGGATTCTTCACATTGAGCGCTCTAGAATTAAGACGATGTCATTTGCAACCCCTCGGGGATTTCCAACAAACAGAAATTTACACATGCTACGGTCTCACTGCTTTTTATGAAGCTGATTTTTATTTATTTATTTATTTGGAGACGTGAACAGAGTTCGCGCGAATACAAATACAACAAAGTTCCATAGAACAACACCACATGCGACATGACTGAGAAAGAAAAAAAAATACAAATGTGAACCAATAAAATCGAAATACAGTTAAAATAAAATGGAATCTAAATGAAAAAGAACCCTAAAGAAACCACTGAGGCAGGCTCAACTAGAAATCATTCTCTTGAAAGAAGCTAGAGAAAGCTTGAATATATCACCTTTAGGCAGTTCTCGTTTGATATCAGTCCTATTGCTTGCTGACGTGTTGTAGTAATGTTCGTCCTGGCACGGGGCTCAAAATTGCAACATAGCCCCAGCATAGGTTGAGGAGAGGTTCCTGGTTTCCGCTACCGTCTTCTTCTTCCTTATCCTCCCCTCTATTCAGTATTTATACGGGGCATTTACTTCTTTTTACTGGCTATTCTTGTTACCTGCTGTTTTCTACCTGCGTCTCCGATGGAAAAGTGCAAGGAATAAGGAGCAGGGTGACCGGAAAGCATAGTAGTTTGCAGTAGGAGTTCGAGTCCTGTCCGAGACTGAGCATGCCAGTCACAAGTCCCCAATCTTGTAAGTCTTTGCTCAAGACCATCGCTCATTTGAAACGAAACGAAACGAAACGAATACCACTCTTGAAGAAACATTTGATCCCACTGGTTTGATTATTGGAATCGGTCTTGTGTACATAATGTTTCACGTACCCTTTTTACTGCTGCTTGCTGAGATCGAAGCGCTGGCGAACTTCGTGCACACGAGCTAACAGCCACTCGTAAGGGCAACGGTTGTCTACAATATAAAACACTACAACGAAAGAATGTTGTTAATGTTACAGTACGCCTGGGCAGGGTTCTCGTTTGAGAGCATGTGCAAAAAGGAAGTTTTGCTACTCGATTGTCCTATACTTTTCCCCAGCCCCCCCCCCCCCCCCCCCCCCCCCCCCCCCCCCCTTTTTTTTTTTTTTTTTTTTTTTTTTTTTTTTTTTTTTNCCCCCCTCTCCACCACCCACCTTTGATTATTCTATTTTTCATTTCTTATTTATGTACCTACTTTATCAATTTTTCACTCATTACGAGGCCATTTCACCCACGAAGATGTGCCTTTTTCCTGACGAGATCGAACGATTTCGTACCAAAAAACATTCTGAGGCTTGTCTGTCATCAAGTCCGCATTCTCAGTTTACGCCATCCTTCCAACTCACACTTATTTATTGTTTTAGTGCTTTCAACTTCTCTCAACCATGGTTATCATGGCTTGCTGTAGGAGTTCTCATCGTGGCCACCATACTACTGTATCTTGTGCCTTTGCGTTGGATCATCATGCTTTGGGGTTCGTTCTTAACAGATTTATCCAGTTTCCCATAACGGTCGTTCTAGGCCTGCTACGATTAATTCTGATTTTCAGGTATTAATAAATTCACGAAGAAATTACGCAATCCACATTACATCGACAATAACGAAGTATTGGATTACTTGTCTAGGGTACCGTGTGATAGAGAATTGGTAAGTTAACGAATAAATTTATTTTCCTCTTGGAAATGAGGCAGCATCTCCTAACCGTTGTGGGCTTACTGATACGACACCTTCTAATCGTCTGGTTAAAAACCGGGCAAATGTCTGGGAAGCCTTGAATGAGCTCAAACGTTTGGGTGAATTTGAACCTAACCTACACATTAACCTGAGGAGCCACACCCAGATCTAGATTATATCCTCGTTATCCTTCCGGGGCCTGGTAAAGATGAGGCTTGTATCGGTTTACCGCCTTAGGAGGGTTAGAAGGCCCGGCTGGCTTGGGTGAGCATCAGTCCGAGATGCTGGGCCTCCGAGTGCCAACGGCGCCCGTTCTTATTACCCAAACTCCTTTTCACTCATGTTATTGGACCTTGATATCAACATTTTGATCGATTACCGTAATTTCAGATGGAATGGCGGGAATACAAAGTGAAACCGTCATCTAATGGGAAGGAGAAGGAAAAGTCCAAACTCAAGGATAAGTAGGAATCATTTGATTGCTGTGATATTGAAACGTGTAAGAAACGTTGAAGTACCGTATCTCCCAGAGGATTAGATGGACCATTCATAGGAATTTTAGTAAGGTTACCTAGCCGAATTTTAATATTGCGATTTGTTCGTTGTATTCTATACATTCTAGAAGTTGGCTAACTCTCTTAAGAGTCATTCCTTATCGCCTCGTAGTAATTTATGAATTTCTCAGCTCTCAGCCTTACCTTCAGCTAGTCATTTCTTGCCGGTTTATTCTGAAAATGTAATTAAGTTTATTCACTATTACATATTCTTGCCGGTTCTTTTGCTTCCGTTCACGAACTTTCCTTTGTTATCGCTTTCTATTCGTCGTTCTATCGGGTCTTTATGTTATTGATGATAATCTTTTCGAAAGTGCAATCGATAAAGTGATAAAACCATTTTAAATTCTCATTTATTGAATGACTAAGGGCAAGATTCCAGCGTTCGTCCCAATTTTGAAATGCGCCCCTTGTTGAACTTCCACTCAGAATCGTAGTGGCGTATTGAATGGGTATGTGGCCCATACAATGACTCGCAGAGGCCAGCCGATGTGCAAGTCAGTACTTTCATCCTACCAGGCACGTCTGGTGGTAGTAGTCAAATAGGAGACCTCTAGGGATGGAGGGTTTGGTACTTTCATCCTGCCAGGCACGCCTGGTGGTAGTAGTCAAATGGGAGGCCCTAGGGATGGAGGGTTTGGTTGGCCCGAACGATTCAGGCTGTATCGTCGGCTCATGAATGATAGTGACCTCCATCGAGATGGAGGGTTGGCCCGAACGATTCAGGCTGTATCGTCGGCTCATGAATGATAGTGACCTCCATCGAATACTATCAGCAAAAACGTTTAAAAGATACCTCTTTAATGAAAAGGCATGCCGCCGGTGGGGATTGAAATCGACCAACGATTGTTTGACGAGCCTCCCAAGGGCTTCCCAAGAAGAAACGGGAGAGAAGATCAACGACGGTAAGATAATGAGTGACTTGAATAGGAAGTGAACATTCAGTGAGTTCTGCACCAGAATGGGTGATCGTGTGTTAGAAATCTACATCTAATGAAGTAATTGAAGTTTTATGGGGGCCGTATCTAGAAGAGAAACTGTCTGTACCATCTACTCAATGCGAGCTGATTTCAGGAGAGGCGCTTGAGAGAGCTTGAAAAAAGATGTTCGATGAATTCTCCGTCAATTTTCTCTCAGCAGGAACTACTCGCCACACCCTACTCAAGTAGATCCTTCTCGTGAGAAACTTTACCTAAGCATTCAGCTCCGCCAGGAAACACCTCTGAAAATACAACTTTTTCGCTGTTTTCTGCTTGCTCGTGCTTCACGGATTTATTGTCGGGGAAGTTGTAGATTCAGCAACATACAACAATGACCAACGATGTTTCAAGATAGGCTGTTAATCATAGCAGAACTGTCGTATAGGACAAGCAAAGGGTTTGTAGGTTTGAGCAGTAAAAAAGGTGGTTTTGCATCAAGAACTCGAAAGGCCGTAAGATGTCTTTGTGGTCCAGTGGTTAGAGAAAATCTTTCTACCTACTCAGCTAAAGGTTCAATTCCCGATGTGGCAGGGTGCTTTTGCTACCTCAAGGCTAGGATACCAAGAAAGAACTGCCAAAACTTGCTGTCTTATTTGGGAACTAGCTCCATGTTCGAATGTTTGAGGACCAAACAAGATGGCTGTCTTGTTACGAGGGTCGTAGGGAGTGAATAGCGTGATCTACGTGGTTCAGTGGTTATCCGGGGGACAATGCTACGCATATGATTGTCTGTGGGATCGTAATGGGCATTGGGCAGTCTTTCGCCAATCACGTTTCTCATCTGTCATTCTGGTACCTCTTCAATTAGAATTTGCAGCAACCAACTAGCGCCGAATACGATTCACTGGCTTGTGGGGTCTAATGAAAGTAGTTCCTCAATGATCTAGCTTTCAATGCGTGTTTGTTTGGGAGCCTCCACATAGGGGAAAAGCAGTTGTGAAGGACTTTCTACGCTTCTTGTAGAAGGATGTTTGTACTAAACGAGTATGGGGAACCGATCTGATCGAATTCGGCTCGGCTTCCATCGGCAGAGGGTGATAGAAATTCAAATGTGTCTTAATCTCCAATGGAAAGCTAACCCGAAAAAATATTAAGATTGAATTAACGGTTCAGTACAACAAGTTTGCTTTGTGCAGTGGTAACAATGCAAGCCCTCAAAGGGCAGAGACGGGTTCGATTCCTCAACGGCATACAGTGTATTGTATGGCCCTCAGTCTTTTCCCATCCACAAAATCCGTATTGCAACCAGGTTTGGGTTTCCTGTTGAGTGTTGAGAATCGTTCAATACCCTCGGCCTTCAAACTTCTCCCGATTAATATCCCTCTTCTCTCCTATTCAATGACTGTATTGATACAAACAGTACGAGATACGGTACTGGTCTTGTTCCGTGTCCTATGAGCAGTTCGGCTCGACTGCCCAGTCCACACTCCATATTACTGGACTCTGCGGGTAAGCCGAAGCCCCACCCACCTCCCTAGGTGGCTGAAGCAGCCATGGTTTTGGCTAATTGCTAGGCCACACTTCAATCACCTTCCTTCGCATTTTTTCTTTCAAAAATGCTCTCGGCACACTACAGAGACACTTTTCCTTGATTGGAAACTCAAAATTACCTAGGAGGAATGTTTTGAGCAAGCGGTCCTACGTATTTTATTGTTATAGATCGCTCGTATCAGGCAAGTTGTTATCATAGATAGTGTAGTGGCAAGTGGCGCCCTACAAAGTACGTATGGTCCGGGATCGAATCCCTATCGATGCCCTTCAAATTTTGCCGTTTACACGTTCATTAGACGTATTTCAAGCTTCACTTTGCTTAGCATTAGAACTCGGGATATGGCCATTTGCTCTCGATCCAACCCAAATACTTTAATAAGCTAGCAAAGAATGGCTAATTGTAAGCCAGTCACATCTCCCTTGTCGTCTGCACTCTAACCTTTGTACGACAGAGAGCCAGAGCAAAGAGTTTAGTTGTCCTGCAACCCATTACCTTACAACTAATATTTTCTTTACGGTTCCCCTGACCCCCACAGAATTTCAGTTGACTCCGTACTTCCGCCGTTCCGTACCTCTCAGATCTCTAAGGCCACCGCTTCACCGCTGCCACTTGTCAGTTGGGTTCGAATGTATAAAATATATGTACTAAAAGATTTATTCAGTTAAAAAACCCTAGACGTTTCGAAATAATGGTAATCTTTACGAAATCACATATTATGGCAATGAAAATACTGCCGTAATGGCTGAAATCACTCGAGTAAATCGGTTTGACGCTTTCGTCTACCGTATCCGCAACAAGTTCCATAATAAACACATGTGATACATGGTGGTACCGGTATCTGTAAACAAAATATTGCTCTTTGGATTGGAGCGCGTTATCTGCCATTCAGAAAATACTTACATAGCAGGTTACGCAAGTAGTTGGCGCAGATGTAACTGGTGGTGCAGGTGGTGCTGGAGGTTCGTAGACGGTAGGACATGGCACTTCAGCATTACATACGGATTGTTCGGTTGCTGGTCCCAGGGCTTCACACTGTAACGAATGATATCATCATCGTGGGGAACTCCGCCCATTTTCGATCCAAAAAAGAATATCAAAGGTGCATACTCCTTGTGCGCAGCTGCAGGTTCTGGTCCGGTAGGTGACACCATTCATACCACAAGTGACACTACAAGGCGACCATGTTGACCACTGAAATCAATAGATTGAGAGGTACTCCTCATACTGTCGGNGGCACGAGCAGGTGTAGTCGAATGGTTAGGTGAGTGGGCTCATGTCTGCTCTCGGGATGCCGTGGGATCGCGTCCCGGCGAGGCGAAGTTTTGCAAAAAGTGCAAGGCTGAGGTTATGCCTAAGCAGATAACCATGCTAAATGATCATTTGAAGGAGCTCTGCGGTGAGGCAGCGCCAATGAGAGGGAGATAGACCTATCGTCTAGAGTCCGTAGCCAGGAAGCTTCAGTTTTGGACCCCATCTGGCGGATGTTCGTCCTTGATCGTCGGACAAATCCGGCTGACCACTATCACCTATGCATCGGTTTTTGCCTCCTAAATACTGAAAGACCTACCTCACTGTACTCACAGCATGGCTGTGTATTACAGGGCATTGTATCGACTGCTGGTCCAGGACAGTGGCAGTTCACAGTGCAACCATGATTACAGATCCGAGTTCGACTAGCAATACCACCTCCGCAGGATGCGCTGAATCATTGACTTGAATCTAGATGAGGATAAAACCGTAATTGAAGTGAGATACTCACCTGCAGGCACCCCATGGACCCCACTCAGTCCATTGTGCGGGAGGAGCAGGAGGGGGAGGGGGAGCGGGAGCAGGAGTTGGCTGCACATATGGTGTGCACGGCCTTGCTTCACTTGATGTACCTTGACAGGTAGTCATGATGCAGGTACGGTAACGTGTTTGGGATTGCACTGAAATAAGGAACAAACATTAACCTGAGAAAAACTAAGAATTAGGGGACCATAAGGTCCGAATAATATACGGGAGGGTCGCACTGAAGAGATGCTTCTCCAAAAATAGTAAGTGGGCGCTTCAGTGCCTTTGTAATTCCGACTAAGAAACCGGAGCGTGGCTCACTCTGAAGCGGGACGAACCACTGCTTCCATCCTACGAGCGCCTGACGGGATTCCGGAATGTTTTGCTAATATGACAAACCTTTTACCCAGCCTTGTTACCCTTGAAGGGTAACGGCGAGGGTATGGTTGATGCGTCCTTCTACCCTACCGTCTCATCTAGTCATTGGCCAGTTCAATGGATACAAATTAATCATACTTACACCCAAACACTGCAACACATCCTGCCCATTCGCTCCATTGGGACCATCCACCACCACCAGAGACGTGACAATTGCCGCATCCACCTGGTACCACTCCAGTTCCAATTGAATGACACCCGTTGCATCCACTTCCGATATATTGGGCGAAGGCGCCTGAACGCTTGCACTTATTATTTAGGTAAATAATTACTGTAACCTGAAAAAGAGCACATAAAAATCTCTTCAGTGATGATTTACTTGAAACTAAAAAAGTAAAGAATGGAATGTTAGGCAGTCGGGACCAGAAAAAGCGCTTCAGCGAAGATATCTGTCCCATTGAGACAACAGAAGGGAAAAATTCCGAGATAACGAGTTATTTATTTAGTACTGTACTTTGTTGATTTAGTCAATAGCCGGATTCCGAGCTAGAATCCAAGTGGATCTACTATCCTTCCCTGTAGTTTTTGTGATGGCACTTCTGTCTGGGAAGAGGACTTTACCCAGATCAGCTCGAGAAACTTTACATCAAGCGAAGATCGCTGCGGAATTTTGGCTAGAAACGGACTACGTGGCGCACTCTAAGAATAGACGGTTCGCAAGGAGCTCAAAATCAGGGCAGTCGTCTTCATGCTGTTATGCCAGGATAAATTGTCATACTAGGGGGTAGCTCATACCTGACCCTCATCCTCCCCACCCACTTTCTCTCCAATTTGGTCATTTTGCCGGGGTTCTAACTGAATTAGCTTTTTTCGGCTTCTGACTATTCCCTGGAAACTGGATAGCTAGTCTTAACCGTCTGTCAAAGAAGGAGAGGCAGTTGAACTGGGAGAGCTCAATAGGGACATATGGAAGGCATGGCCCCGATCCTGAAATGCTCAGGAAGATCCTGGAGTTGAGCATTTAGGGAAGTGGGCTCCTAACGGTGGGACTTCATTTGCTAAGCAATGTTAGACGAAATGGCAGCTTTAATCAGTTCAATATCAATTTAGTAAAATCAGACTTACCCTGAATGGCAGCAATTGAAGCAATGGCAGTGAGTAGGAACATTCGGCAGGAGAGATCGACTCTGTACTGCCAGGTATTCTCTTAAATACAAACATACAATTGACTCGACGGGCCACTATTTGCTAAGACTTCAACCCGCGTGTCAGCCAATCCCGCCCACGATTAGGCTGTTATTTTGAGTACTAAAGGAGTGAAGCCGGTCTGCTTAGATGTGCTGTTACTGTGATGAAGGTATGCCGAGATGATTCATACACAACGAAATGGATGCCAATACAATGTTGACACAGAACTGCTTCATACAGAAATAGCTATCAAGCCATCAGTCGATATATTCTGAGCCGATATCGGAGCCGGGATGCCGTGTTCCATCTAATTCCCATGGGAATTCCCCCACGGATATCCATTCACTCGGGTAGAGAAGTGGTCATTGCATTCTGTTAAGCCGACAGTACGGGAGATTCAACCACCTAGTCTTGTTAGGAAAAGGCTGGCTGGGATGCCCATAGGAAGCTTATGGATGGCAACAGGGGTCCCGGTACTCTAAGGGAATGCTCCAGTGAAGACCCAACATGGGTTCGGTTTCCTCCGAGGGAATAGTTCTGCTTAGTGGTAAACAAAGCAGTTCTGCCTGCAGTTTCACTTATAACTTGGAATAACCGAGTAAACAAGTAAGTAAACAAGTAAATAGTTTCCTTCTAGAGTTATGATTCAAAGCTGAGGACCGAATTGGTCGTTGTCAACGACCGACTGACCTACTCCTTCCTCACATTCGCTCGATCATTCGAGACCAAACGAACGGCTAACCTAACCCTTTCTTACTTCCTTCAATCATTCAGGACCACCTTCCTCCGTTTATAGCTATTAGTAGGACGGTATATATGGGCTAGAAATGGAGCGAGCTGTGATAGCAGGAAAACGTCGGCGAGAATGGAAAAAATGAATCAAACATGTCCATATAGTCACTTGTAATGCTAATATAGCTAGCATTTTATCCGAAAAATGTGATTTTTGCTTGATTCCGTGTCCGACAGTCTCTCGACGATATGCCAATAGATTTTGCTCACAGGCTCAGGCACAATGCATTGCAGAGTGTTGCCCAGTGCATTCTTTCCGTTCGAGAGATACAAAGTGCTTCATTCCTTTCGTTCAGAGCTTTCATGAAAAAGTCTCTGACTATCGAGACGACGGCGAATGTCCTTACGTTCGATTGACGTCTCGAGGGATCCAGTCGGAAACATTTCTAGCTTTGATTGCTAGCACAAAATCGCCTTAGGTTTTTGGACCTATTTGATTTCCCATTCCTTGAGATGCAGGATAGAGTTCTTGATTTTTGACCCCTGACTGGGTAAGATTACTAGGATTCCACAGCCTTCTGCATCTGCTCGTGTGGAGAGATTCGGGATCCCACTGCCACCCTTGACCCGATGCTGGTCCAGGTCTCTGCGGGGTCCATTACGGTACGTTGCACTACGTAGAGTAGCGGGATCAAACGCGGATAATGGAGAATGTTTTTCACCTTCCCCTTTGGCTTCTTAATCATTCTTGCTTCCCATGCCTTTTGCTACCACTTGTGGGTTCTGCTGTCAGCCTGTTTTTCACAATGGTTTCCTTAACCCACACACACATAGACGGAGCATCTTGGAGTATTTACCTGGACGGACCTTCTAGGAGGAAGTGAAATGGGAATGGAAAGGTTCAATGGTCGGAAACTTTCTGGCCGTTGTAGTGGTTTGTACAGTAATGCACTCCAAGGCACATGCTGGCACTCGGTTCTGTTTTTCCGAAGTTGTCATTGTGATGAAAGAAGAAAGTCAGCTAGGTCAGGGGACTTTCCCCATGGGCTGTCGTTAGTAGTCGGCAGGTAGGAGACATGAGGTAGATTGCAAAGAATGGTGACTCCCTCCACCCCTGGAGGGTTTATATGGGATTGGCATGCCATTGTGAATGCCCACATAGCCTCGTTCCTTGGGGGATGAGTAATTTTTCGGCTAATTCGGGCAGGTCCGCTCAGACAAAGCACCATTTCGAGACCTAGAGACCAACCTTTTCATGTTTTGGGAACAATTTGAGGAGAACCGGCTTGGAGGATTCAACAAATTGAGGTGGGAAGTCCCATCTTGACCCGCTCAGGTGAGACTTCCAATTTAAGGTCTATCTGTTCTGCTACTGCCACAAATTGAAATTCATGCTCTTGAAAGAAGTGTAGGATCAGCAAAAAAGTGGCGTCGTGGTAGTGGGTAACTCCTGTTTATTCCCTATTCGTCCTCCCGGACATCCCATTGCTGCCAGACATGCTTTTCCCGGAATCTCTAATCCCTCTTCAGACACCCATTGAGAATCCGTAGTGCGCTGCAACTGATTGATGTGCCCCACAGAAAAAAACTGCCCGTCTCCTCCCACTTTCCTTCACTTCTGGGACTAGCGTTGCGGCGATTGAGAGCATCAGGGTGCGAACTTCGAACTTCTTCTCCCAGTGTGATTTTCTTACAATCACTCTTCAGTCACAAACACTCATACTGTGAACACTGCCAGTGTTGAAGAGGTATTTTTCTGGGCTGAAACTGAATAGATTGTAGTCTGGGAAAACTGGTCCACACCTGTGGTTCATAAAAATCTCAATAGTAAACGTTGTTCGGTACTTTTCAAAGCAAATGTTGAAAGCTAGGGGATTCTCCGTTGTTCGCAACCACCTATGCCTAGGCTGCTGCTTGGGTGGTCTAGGTCGTTCTGTCGCGAACTTTTTCAAAAAAGCCAGGTCTAACCGGTGATTCAGTGCATATGCGAGTTTTCTGCAGGTTTTTGATCATCAACTGCGACAAAAAAAAACGGCAAAATAAACTAAAGCCGCGGTCTAGTAGTTTTTTGACCATTTTTTTCGATCCCCGAACCGCAATTGTGGTGACGGCGGCACTTGAGGTTACGCGAAGGTGTGCACCGTGAGATTAGGGCGCGGCATCTCTTTATTCTGAAAAGTGTCGCGCTGTGCCATTCGGGCGTCAGAATGAGCCTCGAGCAGGACCAACCCCTTCTTTCTCAAAAAGTGGGTAGCGATACTACCTGTTACCACGGAAGGGTCTCAACGCAACACACTTCTTTCACCTCCCCTTGCTTCCAATCAATCAAATTCCGATTTTTACGCTTGTTTTTCCTACTTTTCCGTTCATATGGACTTCTTCTAAGGACTCGGCCATCGAGAGTGGGGCAAGCGCGGTTACCGACAGCTGATGTAGAGTACTAACAAGCCCGAGCTGTCGTAGTGGGCTTGCCTTGGGACGTCTTCATCTTCGGTAAACTGCTTCAGCTCTCAGCTGTGGACAATGCTTGGTAGAATGAGTTTATGGCGAAGTGGCGAATTTACTGGGTGGTTCCGGTGGAGCAGTTGTACACTCCTGACTGAGGGGTAGACCGACACATCTTTGTTACGCCATACTGGATAAGTCAAGGAACAACGCGATTGCTTTAAAAAAATGGGGAGTGGAGCCTGAAAAGGTGGAGCATTTTGCTATATAAAGGATAAAAATTTTGGCGGTTATCAATCCCGTCGAA